AAACCTAACTTTGTTGTTATAAAAAATATCACTGTCAGCTTTACAATATTTTACAGAACAAAATCAATATTGCTAGCATATAAAGAAGAAGAGGAAAATTCCAACGGAAATCTTCGAAAAGAAGAGGATGCGCACGATTCAACTTCATCGGCGAAGAAATGAAGAATCTACGTAGTTGTAATGCAGAAAACTACCTTCCTCGAATTGCAAGGCATTGTAAAGTGCGTCGATACGCGTTTAAAACAGTTAGAATCTTTATCCGATAATATTAACAAATGTGTGTTATATTCAAGCAATCGAACTAAAACTACCTACAAGTTTTATTAATCAGGAAATTATAAAATTAACATTGCGAGGAAATGACGAAGATATAGAACATAATGTATGTACACAAATTAACGATTTAACTTTTCTTAATATATATTTCAATATAATATTTTTGAAATTAATTTCATTAAAATATAACGAAAATTTTCATATAATTTTCTCGAAGCGAGAATCTTTGGTTTAATTTCTCTTAAAACTTTTTTTAATTTATTCTCAAGCTAACTATGTATTTCTTCTTCTTTAAAAAATGAATTTGTATCAATAAATACATTTTTGTATAACATATATCCTTGTTTCTTAATCACTTGTACCCTCCAGTAACCAACTTTTTTCTCTGCATATTTCTGTATTATATGTATAACATAGACTTTTAAATAAAATACAAGAAGAAGTACAATACACATTCTTAAAATCCGTGATATACATAAAAATCATACTCTCGCTCGAACGAATAAGTCATCATCGGAAACGATGCGTTGCGTCAGTTAAACATGTTCGTCCCTGTTTTATCTTTTCCATTGTTCCTAGCAAAAGTAAGACTCCCTCTAAACTCGCAAATTTTTAAATTTTCGTATAAGATCTCATCTTTTATAAATAAAAAACATTCACTAAAAGGCCAATACGTCGGAGACATTGTGTCGCGCCCACAAAAAAAGAAATGACTGTCATAAAACCGTCCGCTATTTATGCCCGGTGTTCGTTTGCCATCACAAAAAATGTTACAGACCCTATCTCTACTCATCATTTTTTCGGACTTTACCCTCCATTTTGTCAAAAGTCCTCTTTCACCCTTCTTCTCCAATCACATCGTGGTAGGTACAGTGCGAACCAATCAGCTCTTTGTCTGTATAAGGCGAACCAATCAGAACACCATTTAATTACCTTATTACTTCCACCTTTCACTCCTCGACCAATCAGAGCGCGTCTTTTTTCTAGACAGACCACGTCTACGGCGCTGGAAGAAGACGTGGAGGGGGTTTATTTTGCCACCCTATGGCTGCCTGTATACTACTCGAGTTCTTTATTTTTTTTCGTTTCTTTTTGTTATTTTTTTTCATTTCTTATCTTTGTCATTAGTATTTTGTTAATTTAAGTTTTTATTATTGTTTTTTATTTATTAATTTTACGTTTGTTATTTTTCTTGTACGTAATTAATTTTAACGAGTTTTTTTTTCCTTATACTAGTCATTGTCAATAATTATATGTTAGAGGGCTTGCCCTAGAATAGGAATAAATGCTTTATTTATCTATCTATCCATCTTTATCCTCTATTTTCCCTCTCTTTCACTCTTTCTGTATATAATTATTTTTATAAATTTGTACTATTTTATAGATATTAATTATTTTATTTTTATTTTACATTAACTTTATTTTTATTTGTTTTTATCTTTATATTTATCATTATTTATATATATTAGGTTGAGTAAAAAGTCATCACGTATTTTTTAGCTCCAAGTATACAATATCTTCGTCAATAATGAATGAAATTCAAATTTAAAAAAAGGGTTTTACAGCTTGAAATCTCTACTTTTAAAAGCTTATCACATTTTTTAAGTTTATATGAGTTTGATAATTTTTACATACCAAAAACTACGAGCTGAAAAAGACGAAAAATTTTCTTCTCACTTTGTGGATTTGTAACGTGTCCAAAACGAATTTGAGAAAATTTTCGATTACCTATCGTGAAAGCTTGATACTTTCCCTACAAAAT